ATCTCCAGGCGCGCTTGGTTATTATGTGTGGGAACGCGAAAGGTTTATGTGATTTAACCGTCCTTTCCATATCCTGTTCCTTGACCAATTTGCATTTTCAACGGCTGACAGGTGAAAGCAAATTTTTCATTACCTTTTACGCAAAATTTATAGTAACCATGCACATTGGAGGCTAAAACTTCAGGCTGGACCTTACCAGGATTGCCCGTGCAATCATGCGTTTTTGCACTAAACCTGAAGCAATAAAGTCGTTAACCGTATGAATGGTTGCTGCTTTACACTTACCTTCTGCTTTCCCTAGCATAAGTCATCAAATCTTTATACAGGAAAAATGCTTTCGTCGGCCGTTATATGAAAATGACTGTTCATTGGCCAATTTCCCCGCCAAAATTTTAAAGTGCTCGACAGCATGAGAACCACTCTTGGGGCTGAAATCGAATTTTTAAGTTATACGTAGGCGAGAAACATTTCCTTAAAATCTCAGCTTTCTGGTTACCGAGTTAGCAGTTTTCTCGCCAAAAGTTTCACATGCGCGCACGTGAGTGTCACATGCACCTCAGGGCTGAATTTGAAACTTTTATGTTGTATTTAGACGGGGAACAGTCCATTAAATTTCAGCTGTCCAGCTTCTCCAGTTCCCGCATTAGCAATTTTTTCGTCAAAGTTTCACGTGCTCTTAAGCGGGACTTAGACGTACGCGAAGGTTGGTACCGCGGTCCTGATGGGATCTTTCCGAGAAACCAATTTAAAAAATTTCAGCTCCGAAGCTTGTTGGTTGCCGACTTGAAATATCCAGACAGACGCACTCACATACATATAAACACACACCGTGGGTCGTTGCAATATGCATTTTTGTGCGTTTTGTGCTCTGCAGCAGCTGCACAATAAGCATATTGTCGCAGGGCTGTCTTCGTGTGTATGTATGTATGTGCATGTGTATGTGTGTCCGATGCATCTTGTCCGCTACTTTCAACTCGGGAACACAAAAGCTAGGAAGCTGAAAATTTAATGTTACCCGCTTACGTCTGACCCTGCAAATTTAAATTCAACCTTCCCGTGCTAATGGGTAACACATACGGCCCCGTGAATGTTTAGGGGAAAAATTATTGTCTCGGGGACTACGAAAGTTGAGGATTTGAAATTTTAGGATGATGCTTCCTACGAACGTACGACCCCCGCAAATTTGGATTCAACCTTCACGCACTTTGGGTACCACGTATGGCTCTGTGGAAGTCTTGGAGAAGACGGAAACAGTTAGCGCTGCTTAAGCTATTTCGGGAATCTTTGAGCTTCACCGCTTCGTCTGAAACATTTTCATTCCTAGACGAAGACGAATTCCGACCAATGGAAGCTTTTTTCAAAATGCTTACAAATGTTCGCAATACTTACAGTTTCTTTTTAAAGCTTTTTCCTTTCCTACTCCTTTTCTCGTAAAAAAAAAAAAACTTTTTTCTCCTCTCTGTGTTTTCGGTAGTTAGGATTATACGAGCTTTGTTTTAAAGTTCACATGCCATGGATAGCCGTAGTTCTCCAGTTATGTAGCCGACAACTTTTCCTGTTGCTTTGACCAGTGCAACGTTGAGTACAGATTATAATAACTTTG